GGTCTTCCAATTATAGGATCACCCACCCAGCCCTACACCTAACAGCTCCAGTCTTGACTCTCTTTGCACAGGGCGCCTGGAGTTTGTCAATAAAAAATTAAAAAAAAAAATTCAATTCTCAGAATTTATTTTAAAGAAACCTATAGGAGGCTGGGTTTGTGGCTCAGTGGTAGAGCCCTCGCCTAGCACATTCCAGGCCCTGAGTTTGATCCTCAGCACCACATAAAAATAAATAAATAAAATAAAGGTAATGTGTCTAGCTACAACTAAAAAATAAATATTAAAAAAGAAGCCTATAGAGATGATAAAACCTTGTTTAAAATGTCAAAATATTGGTTAAATTATTATATGCTTAGTCTGTGGATTCAAATACAACCATTTATTTTTATTTATTTTTTTTTAAATATAATTCTATATATATTTATTTGTTTATTTTTAGTTCTCGGCGGACACAACATCTTTGTTGGTATGTGGTGCTGAGGATCGAACCCGGGCCGCACGCATGCCAGGCGAGCGCGCTACCGCTGAGCCACATCTCCAGCCCCAAATACAACCATTTAAAAGAAAGAAATTTTTWAAAAAGGCAAGTTACATAACTGTGTAAAACATAATGTCATTTAAAAATAAAATGGGCTGAGGATATAGCTCGGTTGGTAGAGTGTTTGCCTAACATACACAAGGCCCTGGGTTCAATCTCCAGYACCAAAATAAAATTTAAAAATGCATTTTTTAAACTGAAAGAATATACAGTAGGAATTAATAGTGGTCATTCCTAAAGGGTACGATTAGAGGGGATTTTTTCCCCCATTACTGGGGATTGAACCCAGAGGCTCACTACCACTGAGCTACATTCTCAATCATTTTTATTTATTTATGTTTATTTTGAGACAGGGTCTCACTAAATTGCTTAGGACCTTGCTAAGTTGTTGAGGCTGGTCTTAAACTTGTGATCCTCTTGCCTCAGCCTCCCGAGTCACTGGGATTACAGGTGTGCACCACTGTGCCCAATTTAGAGTTTTTGTTTGTTTGTTTGTTTGTTTACTTTTTGTTTTATAAATCTGTAAGTTTCCAAATAACAAGCATTACTTTTGAGGGGCTGGGGTTGTGGCTCAGCGGTAGAACACTCACCTAGGAAGTGTGGGGCCCTGGGTTCAATCCTCAGCACCACATAAAAATAAATAAAAGTATTGTGTCCAACTCTAACTAAAAAATTAAAATATTTTTTAAAATTATTACTTTTGTCATTGGAAAACCCCAGATATCTGAAGGCGAGTTAAGAAATTAATATTTAATCATCCAGCAGTAAAAGTGAAGAAAGGAAATTCTATTTAAAATATATTAGGGCTGGGGATGTGGCTCAAGCAGTAGCGCGCTGGCCTGGCAGCCTGGCATGCGTGCGATCCTCAGCACCACATACAAACAAAGATGTTGTGTCTGCCGATAACTAAAAAGTAAATATTAAAAAATCCTCCCCCTCTCTTTTTCTCTCTCTCTCTCTTTAAAATAAAAAATAAAATATATTAAATGCAAATCAGAAACACAATGATACCATTTCACACATACTGGAATGATTGTGATTTTACAAAGACAACAGAATTACAGCAGAACACCTGGACGCTGCAGCCCGGGAGCCTGGGCGGGCCGGGGAGTTGCTGCTCCTGGATTTCTTGAATAAATCTTGAGATTTATTCTTGATTTTTTTATTCCGCCCCAGCTGATGTTTGAGCCAGCACATTTGCGGAGGAAGCAGGCGAAGCCTCCACATTTCCAATCCGACCCGAAGTGGACTCGCCCTGCTGCGAGAAGGCACACCTGGGCGCACACAGGTGAAGCGTCACCCCTGTGCGTCAGGTCGCCGCTCTCTGTGATGGCCCCTGACAGTTCTAGCAGGCAATCCTGTCAGCTCCCAGAAACATTCCAGATCTGGCAGTGAGGTCAGGAATCGGAGATCCTTCCGATTTCTAGAATCTGTATGCAGCTCTCCTACCACTGTTYTGAATGACAAAAGCCGTCATTCAGAAAGGTGGCATCAGGAGCCGCTCACTTATTAGGGGACTGAAGGGAGATCTGGAGAAGTTCCACAACTCGGGAGACCAGTGCTCCCCTGGCCTCCCTAGAGAAGATGGCAAGCAACAAGAACCGAACCGAACCAGTTTCTGCTTCACCGGCTTTGGGAAGGACAGCAAAGACGCTGTCACAAGTTAAAGCAGCTGGGTACTAGAGACATAGGGTTCCTTTTCAGAATGCGACCTATGGTGGCCTCCTACCCCTTGTTCTGTCTCCCTACCTTTTGGTCCCCGAGGATTATGAACTACAAAATTATGAAGACGTACTTTTGGGCCTTGTTCAACTTCTAGAGTTCTAAGAAATCTTATTTATTAGTGATATAACATTGCTTTGAGAACAGAATGCAAGCATTAACTTTGGTCCTTTGTATTTTGAACTAAATACTAATTGACAAGAGTGCTATAAACTTGCTATAACATTTATAGCAATTGCAAGTTTCCCTGATAAACCGTCTTAATTTATGTATCTAGTTTACTATGAACCTGCCATGCCTGTGATGCMTTAGGTCTTTTCAAAAGTCTGTATATAAATGTACATTTTGATCCTGCTGCAAAATTTTATCAGCAAACACATTGTCCAATCTTTTAAAACAAATTTAAGGAAAGAACTGGAAGTACAGACTGAACAGTCTGGTTCTTCGAAAGGTTTGGGTTTTGTTTTGATTCATTTTTTTATTCTAAAATTCAACCTCCTTTTTTTGGTTTGTAGATTTAATCATTTCCATTTTGAACTGCTCTTTGTATTGTGCTTTTTACTTGAGTCTCTTCAGTGTTAATACAAGTTTCTGTAATATAATAGCATGCAGAATTCTTTTTTTTAAAGAGGGGGGAGGGGGGGAATTTTTAATATTTATTTTTTAGTTTTTGGCAGACATAACATCTTTGTATGTGGTGCTGAGGATCGAACCCGGGCTGCATGCATGCCAGGCGAGCGCGCTACCGCTTGAGCCACATCCCCAGCCCTCATGCAGAATTCTTTATGGAAAAAAAATGGAGTGTTGTTTTGGTAGTTGAAACTGAGACTTAACATTTTGCCTTGTAGGTATATTCACCATAGAAAATGTGTGCTGAAATTTCACAGTGCTGCCAAGTATGGCATCTGAACAACCTTCAGTGGAGAAAATGATGATGCTCTTTATATACAATAAGAAATGACACTTTCATTAGAAGAGCAAATGCTGATTCTTGATCAAGAGAGCAGGTATAGTGTTTGTTTATTTTGTATCAGGTATGGAAAAAAAACTGGACTGCTACATGCACTTTCCTGGAAAGTTGAAAAGAAAGAGGGACCAATTTTCTTTAACATTTAATACTTACTAACAGCAGAGACACTATAATTTTACTCAAGTAATCAAATACATTTTTTTTTGCAACAGAAAAAAAGACAACAATGTTTATAATGGGGTCTGTTTTATTTCACAGCCTGTAGATGATGTATGTTGCATCATATGTATGTTACATACATGGCAGGATGTAAAATGGTCCAGAGGTTTGGAAAACACTTTGGCAGAACAAGCAGTTTCATCTGTCAATATCAATATAAATTCAAGAGAATTGAACACATGTGTCCACACAAAAATGTAAACAAATACCAGCATAATTTATATCATAGCTGAAGAGTGGGAATGACCCAAATGTGGTATATACATATAATGGATTTTAATTTGTCAATAAAGAGGAATAAAGCACGGATACATGTTACAAAAGGATGGATGTTGAAAATGCTATCCTAAGTGAAAGAAACCAGTCACAAATTATATCATTCATGGGGAACAGCATAGTGCTCGTGAGCTGTGTGGGCACGTGGATTCCATAGGTGGAATAAACTCCACGCGGAAAGCAGAGGGTGTGCTTGCAGGCTGGGGTCCTAATGATGGAGAACCTGTGGGTCCAGTCTAGACTGTAAGGGTGAAGATAGAGGAGTTGAGATAAGAGGAGTTTGAAGTTTGATCTTCATTTGAGTTTTTCTTCTTTTAAAACTATTTATTTAAACAAATTTTAAAAAAGAAAAAATATTTATTTTAAGTCAAGGTCAAATTGTTAGCAGCCAGGCCTCGAACTCCTGGGCTCAAGTGATCCTCCTGCCTTAGTTTTCCAAAATCTGGTTCTACAAGTGTGAGCCACCATTTTTCTTATTAATCCTTTTTCTTTACATCTCTCTAAATGGGGGGTGAGTTGGGGGACATATGTAACCAGAACATCTACTATTACATAAGCTCACAGATTTTCTGATAGAAACCAGTCAGAATAATTTAGCACTTGGAATATGTATTAAGTGTTTTTCTACTGTAACAGCATTATCTCTTTTATGGTATGCAGTAGGGGAATGGGACCCCACTGTGATCATCTGAGTATCAGATGCAATTATGATGTAATTAATTTATTAGGTCCACTCAATACTCTTAAGAATCATACATAGTTCATTAACCCAGATACACATGTACTTTTGTAACGATCCAGTCTGCTTAGTTTTCCATGTTCTCAAGACAGGGGAAGACTGAAAGAGGGACATATCCTTGCCATGAGGAGGAAAAGGAGAGAAGAATATTAGAGTGCAAATTCATCCAAGGACTTAACATGCAATAGCCATGTACTTTCTTCTCTGATATCCTCTGTACATCATTGGTACTTTGATATCTTCATCCTTGATTTGCCAGTATTTGCATTCCTAGTTTAGTTCTGCTGTGATTTGGCAAGCAACTTGGACAAGAGGACTATTTTTTTTAAATTCATTACATTCCCTGCAGTAACTGGCACCCAGTGGGTATATCATTAGTGACTATTGAGTGCATGAGTGCAAGACACAGGCCAAGAGCTGGAATTGAAATGCAGTGTTGGGCAGTCAGTGGGGCCCCTGGCCACTCACTGGGCAGATAGTCAGAGGACCCATGTTCTTCCCTCCATCATGTTTCCCAGGGCAGAAGATAGGTTGAAGGGGTCCAGAGGAAGAGAAGCCAGTAAATATGTAGATGTGCGATCTAGCTGTTACATTATAAAAAGAAATATCTCCCTTCTTCCAGTCCAGGAAGATGCCCACACGCCTGGGGGGCTTTCTCAGTTGCAGACGGRTTGGAGGACAGGTAGAGGCCAGGTACTCATTTTGCTTCATCATCACTACCCAGTAGCCATTCTCTGGTGACAGAGTCATGCTTCCCTTCCTGCACACGGATGCCTCGCACACTCCCAGGATCCATGCTGTCTTATCTCCAACCTCCACCTCCCAGTAATGGCAGCCAGAGAAGAAACTGGGAGAACCCAGGGTGATGCAGTTATCGAATCTTTCTGGGCTGTCAGATTGTCGCTCATCTTTGTTTCCAAGTCTCACACTTTTCATGTCATCAGAGAAGACAAGGTTGGGGTGGGCAGTTGCTGGATCCAGGATTACACTAGCTGTGGAGAGAATACTAAGCTGGGGGTGTGTGGGCAACATCCCCTCAGGTTCTCCACAACTCCAGGAAACAGGGACAGGGCTACTTTCTAGACTGTAGTGGAGGACAGACAGGGACTCAGCAGGCCAAGGCCACTGGTTTTGACTTTGGACACTTACCAGCATGTGCCTGAGCAGCCATCAGTTCTGTAACTACAGAGGAGAAAGAGGAGAAAGCATCCTGAGTCTCCCCATTCAGAGGGCCTGAATTACACTGTTTCCACAGGAAAGACAAGTATCCCCTTGCTCCAAGCTCTGAATCCTATTCTTGGGTGTAACCCAAGGCCTCCCAGACACCCATACCCACCTGGGAGACTGGTCTGGTGAGCTAATTTGACAATGAGGCAGGTACAAAGGACTGTGCAGAGCTGTGAGGCCTACTACAACTTTTCTCCCACCTTTGTTTCAGGTGTTTTTCTCTCTTCTAAACAATGCCCCTAAGCTGGCAGCATAAGGAACTATCACAATAATCCCTGGTCAGCACACACTTCCACCACCACACTCACCATTGAACATTTCCATTTCTGATCGCAGTGTTTCTAAAAAGGGGGAATGGGAGTAGAGAAAGGTTTCAGTTAGGTCAGMTGTCTAGGAACAGATGAGGAGAAATTGAAGGCAGAGTCAGAAAGGCCTTGGGAAATGGAGAAGAGAGGATCTGGGAAGGAAGTGGAGCCCCTTTCATCTTCCTCCAAGCCCACCTACCTGTGAAGTACCGTGTGCTCCTCTCCATAAACTCTGCTTTCTGATAGAGCAGTTGTATCTTTTTTTTCACTTCTGGAGGAGCATCCCATGGCTCAGGGTCAGTCATCATCTTGGCCCTAGAGACAAGAGACTGTTGGGCAGAGAGGACTGAAGCAAGGGGGTGGCCTTGGTCCCCATGAGCTGGAAGTGAGGTGCAATCTTCATGGGGCACACCCAGCCCAATCTGTGCTATGCAGAGTCCTCCTTGGACTTAGATTTCTGATACTGGTCCTCAATTTTGGCTGCAAATTAATATCTACTGGAAAGTTTAAGAACAACTGATATCAAAATCACAAGTGTAAATAGAGGCCTTAAAGTGGTATTGATATTACCAGAATTCAGACTGCTAAGTCAAATTAATTATATTTCTATATGTTTTGTATTGAAATAGAAATAATAGATAAAAACCCAACTATAATGTAATACCATCTCATAGCTATTAGGATGGCTGTTACAGAAACATCAACAATTGCAAATAACAAGTATTGTCGAGGATGTGGAGAAATGTCATACCATTTAAATAGGATGACCATCAACTGACAAGTGGGTAAACAGGGTGTGATACCCACATATAATGGTATATTATTCTGGCATTAAAAGGGATACAATTCTGACAAATGCCACAATATGGATTGACCTGGAAGGCCCTATGTTCAAGGGGGAGAAGCCAAACACCAAAGGTCAAATACCATATGATCCCATTCACATGAGATTTCTAGAATAGTCAAATTCATAAAGACAGAAAGCAGAATGGTAGTTGTCCAGGGCTTAAGGAGGAGAGTGAGGAGTTAGTATTTAATGGCATGGCATTTCTGTGTGGGAAGGTGAAAAAATTGTGGAGATAGATGGTGTGCTGTGTGTGCAAATGCAAATGCACTTAATGCCACTGAACTGTACACTTAGAAGCGGTTAAGATGGTAAATTTTATATACCACAAAAGATTTTTTAAAACCCTTCTAATGCCTTGGTCCCACTCTCAGACACCTGGATCTAAGTGGTGTGGCTGTGGATACCAGGATCTCATAAAGCTCCCAGGCTGGCTCCAAAATGCAGCCTCCTCCTTGTTCCTCTCCCCTCCCCTGCCTGATGGGCTTTGCCCACCTCTGAAGTGGCTCCTCAGAGACTCTTGGAAAGTGCTTCCCTCCTTGAGGTCATAGGTGGCTCTGCAGGGGCAGTTTATGTAAGGTGGATTTCATGGGGCACAGTTCATCCGGGAGTTTTCTCAGGAAGTCACAATCTTGATTCATCAGGACTAGACTCAATTAATCTCCCCAGTCTTCCATTCCATTCCTTCCCTCCTGTCCAGGCTCTGGTAGCCCCTGTGCAAATCCAGGAAGGCCCCAGGAATCTGCAGGCTTCCCAGGTCCCACCTAGAGTTGTCTTGCCCAAAAGCTTCCTGCAAGGTACCCCAGGGGACACCACAGAACCTGTCTGTACCTGTGCAAGGTGACTCCGATGTCCTAGGAGAAAAAAGAGGGAAGCTCTCCATTACCAGTCTCCTAGAGGCTGTGCTGACTCCTAGTCTCTGTTTCTGGACTCCTAGATTTTAAGCTGTTCCCTATTCTTACCAGACTCTCAGCTCCGGAGTATCAGTAAGCTGGAATATTTCTCCTCAGTCATAATTCTAATCACTTGGTGGCAGCCCCACTGCAATGCAGTGGAATTGCACTTAAGCCTTTCTCATCTCTTCTGGGCAATGCCAGGGTTACTCTGGGCTCCTGAGAGACCTTGACAGAGGGGAGCCCATAGCATCATGGGTCACCAAGACCATGTCCCACCCAGGCCTCAAGGGCCTTACTCCCTGGCTTGGGCAGAGCAGATGGGAGTTATGGGAGCCTACATTCCTATTGGACACTGGACAGGGGAAGGCCAGGCCCAGATGCACTCACTTGCATGATCTCCCATTCTGACTGGCTTTGCTTGGCTTCCAACTCCCCAATCAGCTCATCGAGGCGGGAGATGTGCTGGGATACCCGAGTGCCAAAGGTCTCTCTGACCTGGCCAATGGTCTGGCCCAGCTCCTCCGTCCAGGTCACAAATAGCTGCTCCTGCCACTCCAGAAACTGGCACAGCTGCTTCATTTGGCACCGGATCCTCTGCTTCTGGGTTTCAGTTTGTTTCTGGGGAACAGAGAAGGAGGGAGGTATAGAGATCTATATTATGGGTGAACATGTGTATCCAGAGTGTCCCTAGAAGCCCACCTTGGGGACCAGAGCAGAAATATTATCTGGAACCGTCCAGAACCTTCTAGAACAAGGGCTAGCTCTTGTAAAGTGCTTTTATATCGAACATTATAGGTTCARTTGTTTCCCTTCTAAATTTATATATTGAAGTCCTAACCCCAAAGTACTAAAGAATGATTTTTTTTTGTAGGTAGGGTCCTTGCAGATGTACTTAATTAAAATATAATCATATGGACTAGGGTGGGCCCCTAATCCAGTATGATTGTGTCCTTATAAAATGGGAACACTCGGACACAGATACACACATAGATAGAACACCAGGTGGGAAGATGGCCATCTACAAGCTGAGGAGGGAGGGAACCAATGTTCCCCACCAACCTTGTTTCCAGACTTCTGACCTCTACAACTGCAYGAGGCAATAAATACTTGTGTATAGTGGCCATGGGAAACTAGGACACCACAGCCTTGAAAGCCAGCACAAAAATGGCATAGGCTGTGGGGTCATAAATAGTTAAGGCACTGACCCCCATACCATGTTCCAGGGTGGGGGCCTCGCCCCTCCTCCAAAGTGCTGGAGCATAGGCAGTCTCAACAGTGGTTCTGAATGTGGGTATCCATCTGTTTGGATGTAGGTGAATTTGGCTTCCATGACTGTTGCACAGGRTCCGTGGAGACAGTCCCTCTCTGTCTTACCTCTCTAGGGATAAACTTTCCCTTGAATACCATTACCTTCCTGCCCCCGAGGAGTGCCCATCCTTTTACATTTATTTTTATGTGATTTTTAGTTRTAGATGGACATAATACCTTTATTTTATTTACTTATTTTTTAAAAGTATTTTTTCAGTTGTAGGTGGACACAATACCTTTATTTTATTTGTTTATATGTGGTGCTGAGGATCAAACTCAGGGCCTCTCATGTACTAGGTGAGCACTCTACCGCTGAGCCACAACCGCAGCCCAGGACTGCCCACTTTTGCTGCCCTGTGAAGCAGAACAGAATCTTGGGGACCCCTGCTCACTCCTTGTCCCCTACCTCCTTCTGCAGACATGAAGAGGCAAGGGCTGACCATAGGATGCACCTGGCTTACCAGGAGGCTCTCTGTCTTCTTATCCCCCTGGGATCTCTGCTCCTCTCCAGATTTCCTCAGCTCCTTCAGATGCTCCAGCTGCTTCTGAATTTTCTCCTGGAGAAAGAGTACTTCTTGAGATACTTACACTTGGCTCCCGTCATCCTTAGCTGGTACCAACTCTAGCAGGGTGCCAACTTTGCTTCCAGGGGCCAAGCTAAGGGTGCTGCAATCAAGAACATGAAGAAGGGTGCTCAGGAAAGTGGAAGACTGAACCTGTTGCCAAGGAAAACAGAGCCAAGAGGTGGTGACAGAGAGTCCCAGTGACTCCCTGAGAAAACCCCTGGATCCAGTCACACTTGAATCCCAAAAGATCCCCTTGGACTTCCCAGCAACATAAACAGGCCGATTCCTTCTTTGTTGTCCTGATTTGTATAGTTTTTGCCGCACACAGCCCAAGAGTACTGGCTTATGCACCCATATCCCTGAGTGGTTAGGAAAATGAAGCAAGGCCCAAGATGTCCAAGTTCCAGGTACAAAGCACCTACCCTGTATTCCAAGGCAGCCTCCTCAATGGGGCGTACCCGGTGACCTTGGTGCTCCTGACTCAGCCTGCAGATGAGGCAGATGGGCTCCCTGTGATCCTCACAGAAGAGCAGCTGCACCTGCTTCATGTGGCGCTGGCACTGTGGCAGGGGCTCAGGGCTCAGGCCTCCAGAGCTGTTCTTGTTGAGTGAGGCCTGGCACTGCTGGCAGCTAGGCAAGTGACTTCTAGGGGTCTTAGGCTCCCCTGAAGCAACTGGACAGYTGCAGGAATCCAGCACACAGGTACCAGCAAGCAGATCTCCTTTTGGTGTGTGGCAAAGGGGAAATGCAGCCTTGTCCTGTGGCCTCCCTGGGGACATGGCAATGGAAAAATCTCCTGAGTGGTCAATCCAAGTTTATGAGAGAGTGAACCTGTGCCGAGGATGCCTGAGTTCTCAGATCTGTCCACTTCCTTGCACATCTTGCCCTGCCTTCCATTCAGTGAGGCAACCAACAGACCCCTGGAACTGAGAACAAGGGCTAGGCCTTAGGTTCTTTCTGGTTCTTGGGATTCTTGGGCATTCATTCTAAGAAAGCCCCACATCCCTTTGCTACAGATTTTTCTGCACAGATATGGGTCTAGTGGGTGAAACAAGAGAGAGCAAGAAATTCTGGACAGTATTTGCTTTGTTACTTGAAACCTCTCCAGCTGCCTGTAACTTGTGGGGGATGTAGTGCCTTTCTTGAGGACAGACTCCACATCTGCTGCAGAGTGCCTGGAGGCTGGAATGTGTTGTGTGAAGGAGCAAACAGATCACTGCTCACACTCAAGTTCAAGAAGCACTAAATGAAAGCAAAGAAGGGGACTTTTTAAGACTTTGGGGCATATATTTCACCATGAAGAATAAGTTATAAGTAGCTCTGAGACAGTAGCAGTAACCCCATAAAAGCAGAAATGACAGGAGACACAAGAAGAAATAGGAACATATGCAATACATAAGTCTGTCTCTCCCTGCACTCATTGTCCCAGGAATTCACATCACATCTGTAAACAAGACTTCTAGTGACCCTCAGGAAACACACCCCCCCTTGTGATAGAATTGATGACTTCCTCCAACCCAAATAACCCCAGATTCTTAGCCTCCCTTGCAGTCAGAAGTGATGATCTGAACATATTCTAGACAAAGGGATGAAAAGGAGGTGTCCTGAGCAACCTCTAGAAATTTCTAGAAACCTTCCCTAAGTGATGCTATTCCCCTGGGCCCTTCCATCCTGCTGCTTGGAATGAGGATGTCACTATCTGAAACCATGAATTTCAGAGCAAAGTTGGCAAAGTTTGGGGGTCTGGCCCATGTATCTGTCACAGACAAATGTATGTTACTGTGTGTCATTTGTGCGAAAGAAGAACAAAGTCTGTRTTGCTTAAGCTACCATGATTTGGGGTTTTCTGTTACTCATGAATAAACATAATCCTGATGACTAACTCCTCAGAAAGAGAGACCTATGGTTTTGGTCAACTGCTCTCCTCCTTGCCCAGTGAAAGAGAAATGGTAGAATCCAGCCATATCACAAACAGCCCTGGGTATTTGTGGGAAGGGAATATTTTTATCCAATTTTCTCTGGATCCTTAATCTGGGGCCCATGAAGCCTGTACATGCTAAAGAAGAATTTGTGAGGGTCCAAGAAAAAGTTGAAATTTGATGCAACATTTTGTGATGATGTGTGCATATACATGTGCATTTTCAGGGTTTATGAACTGCAAAGATACCCCAGAAGGTATCCATGAATCCTCTAGTGATTCACTGTAGGAGGAATAAAAAGAAATTCAGGAGGAATACCTTTACAGGCCACCGTTCCTAAGGATGTCAGGTCTTTCCAGGGATCCCTTTTTACCTGAAGACGAAGGTACTTCTGGATTTGAGGACTCATGGAACACACGGCCTTTCATCTTCTCCAGGGTCTCATGGGTCGCTGGACCTTCAACTCCACGCTCCTCCCAAGGTGATATGGATTTCTCCTCTCCTGCCAATAATGCATTGCATAGTGTGTTCATGACTGTTTTCCCTTCTAGGACCCTGGAATGCTCTGGGTTTGTGGAGCCCTTCTCCAGAGCCACAGTAGCCTCTCCATCCAGAATGACTCTTCCCCTGGGGCTGGCTGCTGAGTCTGGTTTTGCATTTTTCATTTTCTCAAGAGAAGTCAGAATAGTTTCTGCATTTGAGGATTCTCTGTCTTCTGAAGGAATGATAAATTCAAAACTTCTGGGTCGCGGCTTCACTGAATGTAAATATACTTCAGATTTCTTGGATTCTTTCCTCCCTGGAGCCCCGCTGGATAAACCCTGGAGTCTTCCTGCAGAGCTGGCATTCCTGCGGAGCTGGGCACTCTTCCTAATCTCCTTTTCCCCTGGCAGCTGGGCAAGGGCCAGGCTTCTTTTGGAGGGCAGCCCTGTGCTCCTGGCCAGAGGTTTTCCCTGCACGTCCAGGACCTCAGGGCCCTTCTGATCCCTCCGTTTGCTCTGAGACTTCTTCTGAGGCCCCCTCCCTGCCTCATGCTGGCTGGACGGCAGGCTGGCTGCCCCCCCACCACTTTGCTGCTGTCCATCACCTTCTGGGCCATCTGGTTCCTTCTGGCTCTTGAGCTTATTTTCTCCAGGAGAAGATCCTGTGGATGTGTCGGTGCCACTGTCTTGTGCTGGATATTCTGGAAAGACAAACCAGATGCAAGAATGAAGTTGTCCCACCCTGAGGGCCAAGGGCTAATGGGTGGAAGAGAGAGAGGGGATCCCATTCAGCATCACAGAAGGCAAAGTGTTGAACATGCTGGACAGCAGTAGTCCAGTACCACTAGTAAGAACACTCACACGATCTGCTGTTTTTCTCAATACTACTTTTCAAACTTTTTAAGCAGAAGAATTTATTTCAACTAAAATTTTACACAAAACTCCAAAACACAGAGAAATAAAAAACTATGGTTTATTGGTATAAGATTGTGTTACTATAGATGTACAATATTCACTTTATGAAATCAATTAATAAAAAAGAATTAAGGTATCTGGCACAAAAATTTGAAATCAGAACTTATAAAAGAGTCTGTATTTTTCTTTTGTTGCATAAATTAAAGAAAATTCTAATTCACACAGATAAGTATAAATGGTGATTTTTAAAAAAGTTTGCCTAGAAATTTCAGGATACTGTTAACTGTTTATAAATGATGAGAAAGCCTTACTTACAAGGTCTACAAAAGGAAATAAAGATAATATGTACTCAGCACCTTACTTTTGGCTTGAAGAAGGTTTTATCAAAATTAAAGTTTCTTGGGGGCTGGGGGTAGAGCAAGTTCTTAGGAGCCATAAGGCCCGGTTTGATCACCAGCACCACACACATGCACAAACACAAATTTTAAGTTCTTTATAACAGTTTGCTGGTTGGCTTTCTTGAAATATTTAAGTTTCCAAAACTGGCTCATGAACAGGTAAGAAACCACAAAGATGCTAATACTCAGGTTTTAGAACATGAAAAAGTAATTTAAAAATTCTACTCATTAAATTCTACCAGATCATATTATAGTTTAAGTTCTATTACTCTTTCAAAGATTAGAGAAWTTTTATTTCATTTAAACTGTCTTCCTCATAGAAATACCTGGAAGGGATTTCTGATGTAGTCTTAAAGTCTAGAAATAGAGGAAAAATTCAAACACCAAAAAGTATTTCTTTAAACCAATCATGTATTAGGCCTTCTCCTGTCACAAAAGTCTTTAAATGTAGAACTCAAATAGGCCACATTATTAGATCATAATAAAATCAGAAAGTTACTACAAAAGAATAGCAGGAAGGAGAAGAAAGCAAGAAAASGAAAAAAGGAAGAAGAGAGATGGAGATGAATTCCTCTTGAGAAKTTTTTAAAAACCCTGTGTTAAAAAAAAGAATTAGCTGGGTGCTGTGGTGCATTCCTGTAATCCCAGCTTGGAAAACTGAGGCTGGAGGATTGTGAGTTCAAAGCCAGCCTCAGAAACTTAGTGAGGCCCTAAAAAACTCAGTGAGACCTTGTCTCTAAGTAAAATACAAAAGAAGTGCTAGGGATGTGGTTCAGGGGTTAAGCAGCTCTGGGTCCAATCACTGGTATAAAAAAAATAGAAATTAGGAACTGAAATTAGGTGGATAGCAATGAGACTATTATGCACGAACCTTGTTAGCATGATTGGTTTGCATGCCCTTCCTACTATCCCAAAGATACCTGTCTGCACATGAGTGCTAACTGCAAATGGATTGAAGAGTTCTCCAAGAACAGGTACTCCAATGCTCTTTCTCCTGATTCTGACCTAGTCAGAATATCAATCTTTTTTTAGAGCCATTAATAATCTGAGGGCACTTTACCAACCCAGCTACAGAGGCCAGAGAGGGACAGGATGTGATTGACCCAAGTTGCCTAGGCTGCGGTAGATCAGGGTCTTCTAAGTCTCAGGCCAGAGAACTTTGGTCTGAAGGCAGCTTCCCTGCTCCTGCCAGCAGCCAGCAATCAGCACTGAGCCAGGATGGGGCCTGGACCACTTACCCTGGCCAGTGGCCTTGTGCAGCTCTTCTGCCAGGAGGCGCTGGTTGATGGCACGCAGGACCTTCAGGGTCAGTTGTACAGCATGTTTCTCCCCGTAATGGATGATCAATAGGTTGGCCAGCTTCACTGGCCTGGCCATCTGAAGATGGCCCCGGGGGATCCGGGAGTGCTCCTTCTCCAAATTGGTATTCTGCAGCTTGAACTTGAACTTCTCAAAGTCATAGGGCACCAGTTCCTCCAGGGTGTTCAGCAGATGGTCACTAAGGGTCTTGTCCATGGCGCTGATCAGAAGAGACTGGAGCYAGCTGTCTGGTTTTTGGTAGTAGAAGCAGCCCCCTGACCTGGAACCTAAGGATGAGGAAGTGGCAGCTTGTGAAATAACCGAAAGGCACAGGAAATGCTTGATGTTTTCGAGGGAACTGAGATTCAGGATGAGGGTGTGGCCAGTGTCTAAGCTATGGCGTCCTCGCAGACTCAAAGACTTGTCCAGTGCAGAAGGTTCCATCTTGCCATCCATGTGGCGCCCAGACTCTCAGCTTCACTCCATGATAGATGGCAGAGAGGTGGACAAGTCTATCAGGGAGCCTCTGGGGTTGGAGTCCAGACTCTACATCTGTTTTCTCTTGCTCCAGGACCTCAGGATGGAGGAGAGGTGGGGACAAAGAGCCAGGCTGAGGGTCAGCATCTCTGGCCAACGGCTCCTGTCCTGACTCATGGAGTTCATGGACCCTTTGGGGCCAATGGAGAGGGTGGGAGAGGTAGCAGGTATAGCACTGCAAGCTTTTCCCTGGGTGCTCAAGAAAGCTGGTGAGGCTGGAAATAAATATTGAGGTTACCAATAAATATTGTAAACACTATCACCCCAAATACCCTACATACCATAAATATTAAGAATGCAATATTATTCTAAGTAATTTCAATATGATCATCACATCCAAGAAAGCTAACTTTGTTTTACAAGAATCAGTCCTTGATTCAAATTTCCCCAGTTGTCTTGATGATGTCCTTTGTAGCATTTTYCCCCAACTTGGGGTCCAGAGATCATGCACTTTGTTCAGTTGTCCAGTTTTTCTATTTTCCTTTTACCTGCAACATTTCCCCACTTCCTCAGTCTTTTTTCTCTTTTAAGCCATTGATTTTTAAAAAGTCTGTTTTTACCACCAGAAGAATGAGAAATTATACTCCATTTATATATGATGTGTCAAAGTACATTCTACTGTCATGTATACCTAATTAGAACAAAATTTTTAAACTTTAAAAAAAAGTCCATTTCAAGCAAAACATCCATAAGTTTAGATCTGTTTGCTTTTCTCTTCATAAGTCTGCTAAGGGTAATATCCAAGCACCTTCAAGATCTCTCCCATGTAYGATGATATTTTTTCCTTATGATTAATAAGTGACCTGAGTGTGTGTCTTCTCTTACATTCTTTCACCCAATAACTTTTGTAGTCATTGAATGTCCCTTCCTAAATCAACTTTTATAATGATATTTGCAAACAATGACTATGACTTAATTAGCATTATTTGCATATTTTAGTTTAAACTTTCTGCCCACCCCATGAAATTTTTGGATTAAAAATATTTGTGGCCAACAGGGGATGTAGCTCAGAGGTAGGGTTCGTAGCTAGCATTCCCAAGACCTTGGGTTCAATTCCCAACACTGAAAAAAAAAAGGATGTTTTGTGGACAATTTAACTAATCTTTCAATAGCATTTATTCTGTGCCAAGCACAGCTTCTTTATAAACACTATCTGCTAAGACCTCTGTGGACCCTGCAGGGTTGGGTTCATCTTCCCACTTGCCACCAGGTATCTGTTTCAGAACTTGCTCAGAAGTAGAATGCAAACTCACTCTGTTAAACCACCTCTCAGCATTGTCTCCCTGAACAGTAGTAGCTTAGTATTTTACTATTTGACACTTCTCATAGATGTCACTTTTTCAACTGACCACTGAAGCTCAGAATGAGCCATCCCACAGGTCAGTTTCAATATCTGACACCTTCCCAGTGTGTGAGCACCTCTGGGTGTAACTCTCCTGGCATCAGGCTCTGATGGGTGTTGGCTGGCAGAATTTGCCTTTTTGCCCAATGGTTGTCCATGTGCTTCACACTTCACAGAGTGCTCAGTGCTTCATGTTAGCCCTTGGGTTTGTCACACCTAGTCCAATGGATCCTAATGAGAAGGAAACCCCCAAACACAACATTCTTCCTAAAAATATGGATGAATTCCAATGAAAATATAGGGTGCCGATAGCAGATGTTCAAAATTCTCAGGTTAGTCCATAGGGTGTTGACTGTYTTGCTGGGACCAGTGCCCTGAACCAGAATTTGGAAGGCTGCCACCCAGCATCTCCCAGGTATCCTCCTACTGCTAGACAGAAATGATGAGGTTGTGCAGTGACATGCAGGGTGTGGTAGGTTCCTGGGATTCCTGACCCTATCCTGATGGGTCAGGAACYCCTCTGAACTGAGCAGGGTAAGGAATGGGGGTTTCCAGCCCAAAACAGGATATTTTGCAATTGCAACACCACTTTTTGCAACAGGGGCAATTTTGAGGCAGACTTCTGAAAGACAACATTTTGATGACATTTGGGCCTTTCTAGATGAAGAAAGGCTCACAAAAGTTGTTTTTGAAGATAGAATTATAGCCCTTGTAGTGTATWTTATTTGATTTAGCAGTAAAAATGGAGGGTCTTTTCTTGCTCTTTTTCACCAGATGTGTGACCCTGTTTGGAGTTAACATGATAAATCTAAATTCAACACGCCTGTTCAAAGGATCTGCCTTCTGCTCATATTCCTAAGCAATGCACTGCTCAGACAATCTGACCTTGTCACTTTCTATGGCATTCATTTCTATATCATTTTAATTTTTTTTGTGGTGTTGGGTTCAAACCCAGGACCTACACCTGCTAGGCAAGCATTCTACTACTGAACAATATCCCTAGCCCCATTTTAGGATTTTTTTTCAAATGAATATTATATTACTTTTACTATAAGAAAAATATAGTTGTTAAAAGTCATTTATAATTAGCTTAGCCTCTAAGGGAATATTTGTCCTTTCCCCCAAAGCATCATGATAAAGGAGGTTTATGGTATTTAAATAAAACAACTGTTATTGAGAGAATGGAAAAAAAACAGTTGAGGTCATAGAATATTTCTTGTATTGATCTGGAGCTGAGAATAATGAGTCCCACTATGGTTCAAATTCCCCCTCTCATGATATATTTAATTTTGGGATTCTGAGAGGGCAACCATTCAAGTGTAAGGTAATTTCTAGGCCTTGCTTAGAGTTACTCAATAGCTTCTCAAGGGTAAGAAAGCTGGTAAATGCTCTGAGGTCATTCACAATTTGTGTACTAGCTGGCTCCTTACCCCAACACAGTTCTTCACTTTAGCATTGAGGTTGTGTTTTGCACAGTGCTTGATAAATAAAAAAATCCAGAACCTAAAAGGTTAATGAGTTTTTTTAATATTTATTTTTTAGTTTTTTTTTAGGTGAACACAATATCTTTATTTTTTATTTTTATGTGGTGCTGAGAATCGGACCCAGTGCCTCACGAATAAGCACACTACCACTTGAGCCACATCCCCAGTCCCAGTTAATGAGTTTTTAAAAGACTAAATTTCTAAATGTTTTTGTGCCAAAAGGGATTAGTCAAAGGTCAAAATATGCCTATCCTGTACAAGGTCCTGGGTTCAATCCCCAGGGAAGAAAGAAAAAAGAAAGACAAACAAAACACAAATTGATACTCTCAAACAGCCAATTCAAAATGGCCAAAACAAAATGGTGGTCTTTAAATATCCAGACCAGGTGACAGGGCATGGGCAAGGGTCCAGAGTTAGATGGGTATATAGGCCATTCACTGCAGCTGAACCTGACACAGGCTGTCAAAACACAACTACAACTCTCATAGTGTCTTTGATGTAGTAAACAGTAGGCCTTGCATTTTACACAATGCTTTCTTCTAATTTCCACTGAACTCTATAAAGAAGATACTTAAAAAAAAACTTTTTTTTTAATAGACGAGGAAAGCTTGGCTTAGAGGTAGTGTGACCAACATATTTGTATGGGACCAAAACATAGTCTGCCCCATTTTAGCACTGGAGGGCCCTCATTGTAGGAACTCCTCCCAACCTGAGAAAACTAGAACAGGCAGCCATCTCTGGAGAGGTTAACTAACATGCTTAAAACATAGCCAGAAGGCACAGTCACCGCCATTCACTCCACTCATATTTATTGAGCACCTGCCATATGCCAGGTACCATTCTAGATACTCTGGGCACAGAAGTGAATAAAACCAAGCCCCTTTCAGAGCTCACATTCTTACAGGAAAGTGTGAACAGACAATAAACAAACATGCTACACATTAGGTAGTTWTAAGGAAGTTGAAAAACTATACAACAGAAACAGTCATGAGCCAAAAGGCTGGGATAATGAAATAAGCCCCTGTGCACAGTAAGCTGTGACCCTTTTGTAGCAGAGCATGTTGCTGCTCTATTCTTGTGCAAGTTTCCACAAACCCCGCCATGAGATCCTGATAAACCCCCAGAAGCAGAACTTTTACACAAGATGCAACTATTACCAGGGGAAAGTCTAAATAAACCCTCCAGCTTCTTATTCTTAATCAATTTTWAAAAATCACCAACTTTGGAGGTCCCAGAGTTACGCAATTATCATATTCACAGCCCAGTTGTGCTATGGCAGTGGGGTAGGGAGCTGGAAGGCCAGAGAAAGTGCCGAGAGATGGCATGTGAGACATATGACTTATTGGGGAAAAGCTTACAAGAGCCTAGCGATTGCTCAAAGGAGAGTTCAATGGTGACAGATGGAACACATAGCACTCCTGTCCCCCCCTCTAGGTGCTTCGCCAAGCAGTGCCTTCTTTACTTCCTTGAGTTTTGTCCAGTGATGCCTGGCTGGGTGAGTGACACATATCCTTTCCACAGTGCCCTCAGTTCTGCACATGTCATCTCTGAGAGAGGAGTTTTATACATTAGGCTGCAGAAGCAGTGACATCATCAGCACCACCTTGCTTAGTTTACTTGTGTGACCAGCATCCTAAGGAGCAATTGTCCTGATGTACATGCAAGAAAGTAGCTTTCTGCAGATAAAGCTAACTTGCCTTAGGTCCCAGAGTGTATAAGGGAAAGGCAGTGTCCTTCAACATAATATGTATCTAGATATTCCAGTCCAGGCTTGCTCTCATTGTTCCCTTATTTTGACTGGATTATTGAGAACAGAAAGGGACATTCAGGGATATAGTGTTTTACTGTCCCCC